CTTTTAGAAGCATCCTTTTCACTTCAGCTTCTCATAAACTATGTGCAATTCCTTTTAATTGAGGAGTGGGGAGTTGTTAATCCCCTTTTAAAATCAAGTCTTGACATTTTCGTGATTGTTTATTGAAAATTGAAAAATTCGATCTGTTTATGTGTGTAAGAAATGTTTATACAGCTTGTACATGCAGCTGTAGGATGGGAGTAGTACTGAAAGTCCCATACTGTTACGTGTGAAGATGTTTTCATACATCTGGGAGACTACAAGCAAGTAGGTCAGTGGATTATGACTTAATGATTTGGAGCAGAGGCAGGATTTGGGGGAGTAGTGGCAAGGCATTGCTGGAGAAAAAGTAACAAATGGAAAATCTGAATGATGACTTAGGCTAAAAATATCAATGGAGCAAGCTGAACAAAATTAAATGTATGCATACGGCACAATGCAGTCATGTTTAACACATCCAACGCTTGGCTCTACCTTGGGAGGAACAGCTGGCGAGTGTATGTCAGGATTTTGCCTCCAGTATGACTGCCAGGGGCAGAGCAGCACACGAGGGGGGGTATCTGTCATCTTTCCTCTCAGACTCTTCTGGTTCTAACTGGTTCTACACGTCTACACGTGTAGACGTGGCTCTTCAGGGCATGCTCTAGTGCCCAAGATTATTGGTTTGTGGTGGGGTATTGTGTGTGGGGTTGTGGGTGTGGGGTTTAGTTGGTAGGTGGTGTTTATGGGTTTGTTGTGGTTTAGGTTTTTTTGTGTGATATTTTGGTTTTTGTTTTTTTTTTTATGTGGTTGGACTCGATGATCTCGGAGGTCCCTTCCAACCACTAAGATTCTGTGATTCTGTAATTCTGTAATTGCTAATACAATAGCAAGAGCGGTAACAAATTGTTTACATGTTTCTATAAGTATTGAAATGCTCAGGATTCTGTTGTGCTTGGCACAGACATGCAATTCACTGGCAATGAGACTGGACGTTGTGATTAGTTGAGAGATCACGTATAATGGAGAAAGCTGCTGCTGTTGTACATGCTCTTAAAACCGTATCTGTCTTAATCTGTCTGAGAACATCAGGGTTCCTGGGTCAGAGAACTTTTTTATATATGAGTCATATGGCAATGCAACATGATAAAGGGTCTTTTAAAGAAAGCAGCTGAAGCTGTGCCTGCTTTTGAGTGATCCACTTGGTTGGGTTAGTGTGTGTGGTGGCCTGTCTTCTAGTAACAGGTTCTTGTATTGAGGTCATGGTGAACAGACCAGAAGAAACAAATGATATCAAATATGCCAGGATGGCATGGCTCATACCAGAAGGGAGGAAGCAGGTAGAAATATTTTATCGATGCATGTTGACTTTCTAGTCCTTAGTTGAATGGAGCACTTTTTCTAAGCACATCCCACAGGTTTTCATATTAGGTCAGGGTCTGGCCTCACTTTTGCACAGGGAATATTATGCTTGCACAACTGCAAAATCTTCATCTCAAGGCAGGATAGGACCAAAATGAGGGTCTGAAATAAGTTTCCCTTGGTGTTTGAAACACCTTGTGTGTGTGGCACAGAGGTGGTACACCGAGGGATGTTTCAGCAGTAGATGTGAATCAGGCTTTTGGTCTTTTCTGATCCTGCTTACTCAGCAACCAGTCTTAAGAGGTTGTAGCTTCAGTCAGGGGGAGGCATTAGTGTTTGATACGGGAGGAAGCAGACAACAAGGGGAAAATATATGTTGAGTATCAGGAAAATTGTCATCCGTAAGGTCTGGTGAGTGCTCGGATGACCAGCACATCTCCCTGAAGGGTGCAGGATGGTCGTACAGAAGGGCTCGGGTAGCAAAGGCAAGTTTTTCTTCCTTTTCTGAAACCTCTGCTGAGGACCACCTGAACTCTAGTGCTCACTGTGCTGTTCTAGGCAGCTTAGTTAGTGCAGTCACTGGTCAGCGTCTGCAAAAGCACCAAAAGATTGTTGCTTTTAAGAGGCTTTATCGGGCATTGTCTTCAGCAGCCACTTCTTGGCCACTGTAATATTGGGGACTTGGCTCAGAGGTGGCTGAGGTGAAGAGGCCCGTGTAGGAGTTGGGCTGTGAGCAAGGGTCTGGTCTGTGTTACTTTTTGAGATCAAGTGTAGTTGGGTGGTGGTGGCGACTCTTGGCCTTTCCCCTTGGGACTGATAAATATTGGTGGGAACACCTATGGATGCTGCAGACTGTTTTGGTGCCCACAGTAACTCCAGTGAGTTCAAGTTGTCAGGAGGCTCTGACCTTGATGGCATAACCCAGATAGCCCTGGGAGGGAAAGTCAGATTTCCCCAAAGGGAAAGTCATTGGCCCTCTCTGTGCTGTCACAGCAGAGAACTGCAGAACCAGAGTGAGGGTTAAAACTCTGAGTAAAACAGCAGAGGAGCCCACCCAGGGTGATACAACCGCACACCTCTTCTCCTGCACTGCTCCAAGAGCACCTACGTGTACGTCTCTAAAATTCACTGCTGCTTAATTTCCCTTCTCCGAAATACCAACCAATTTCTAGTGCCAAGGAACCTAATAATCTATTTATTAAAATGAGGCAGACAATAAGTTTGTGTGGGGAAATGTTAAGGCAGTGCACATTGATCATGCTGATTTAGGACTGTAGTGCCATTGCAGCGTTTCCGGAGACAAATTCTTTGCAGCTAATTGCATTATAAATTCCGCTAAACCGTTTTCATAAGGTATTTCCCTAAGATATAAGCCCTCCATTGAAAATAAAACCAAAAAGAGCAAAGGAGCAGTTGTGGGGTTTTTTCCTAATTAAATGTTATATGAAAGTAAGACAAGAGAGAGAGAAAAAAATGCAAATCATGTTAATTAAATGCTAAGTCTGCTGTAAGGGGCTGGTTTTAAACATCATGGGACATGTTGAAACTCATACAGATTTTCCAACTAAAAGCCAAAAAAGTAGAGTCCTGAGGTTCTTGTCCTCAGATCGAGATGGTCCTGAGCCATCCAAAGTCAGGGCTTTTATGTCATCAAATTTCAGATGTGGTAGTCGGGCATGTTGTGAGTCTTAACTGTCCCAAAACATGACCTGGATGATGGACCACCTTTGGGAGAGCTCAGGGAGGGCAGCACTGGGAACCAGCCTCTTCCTCCTGCTGTGGCAGCCCGTGACCGTGAGGTTACACTGCCTGCAGTGGGTGTCCTGGGGTAGAGACACCAGTAGGAAGTAGCAGTCGTTGGGCACAGCTGGTATGAAGACCTGTGTTGTTCACCAGAGAGCAGTTCTCCCAAATACTCAGTGGCACTACCCAGCAAAGTGCATTTTTATAGGGGATCTCAATCGTTTTTATCAAGCTGGGTCAGAAGACACTGAAGCAGAGAGCAGTTAATTGGATTTCCCAAGGAAGCATAGCAAGCAGCAGAGGACTCAGCCTGGCTTCCTTGTTTCCCAGCCTCCAGCACAAAGCAGCAGTCTGTTGCCTACACTATTTTAATATGTCTTTGAGTGACTGGGAGCAAAGCATGATATTTCGTTTCTTCTTTCCATATTGAAGGGAACAAATTCTCACTCCTTGGGAATATTTGTCACTTTGAGCGTGCCTGTACAAATTCTCTCCTTGGTTCCTACAGGTGACGTGCTGTGAGCTTGATTTAGAGAGTCCAGGCAGGGAGAGATTGCAGTCAGACCTGGAGGAGGTAGGGTCTCCTCCAATTTTCATGTATATGTTTCAGGTAGTGCCCATTTCCAAAAAAAAAAGTCATTTGGTACTCATTCAGCATTCAGCAACTTCCCAGTCATTCAGCAACTGGGAAGTTTCTTTGCCAGGGTACTTTTGCTGTAGGAAAGCCTTTCCTCCTAATGTCTTGTATGCAGATTGTATGTGTTGCAGCTTCCAGCTGTGAGCTTGCTATTGGATTAGAAGAAAGCACTTTCTTTTCTTCCTCCTCCTCTCCCCCTCCCCATGCAGCAAAATTACTCAATTACAAAGAAATTGGGAGATAAATGTACTGCCTGTGGTCTTGTCTTTGAGTCTAGGGGTAGGTCTGATCATTTCAACAGTCACAGTTGGGACGTGGCTAAGCCCTGACTGTGCCACGGGCACATGTACAAGGGGAGACCTTGGTCACCTAACGGTAGCCTCCTAAATGTCAGGCACCCACTGTCAGCAGGTCAACCTGGGGCTCAAGGGGGACAGGAGCTCCCTCAGAAGGCAATTTTCATCTGCACCTGCCTTCATGCAGGAAGGAGACTTCTCTCCGCCTTGCTGATGGAGCCCCGATGCCTGAAGTTTAGGTGGGTGAAGTTAGATGGGTGGAGTAAAGCTACTGGAGCTGGGTTTTTCATGGGCTTGAGCACTGGTTAATGAATTTTTGTCTTACTCTGAGCTGGGTCGGGTATAAGCTGTTTGTCTCAAGGGGGAACTGAGGTGACATGGTTCCCTCAGGAATATCACATTGTGGTGGAACAACCATTAGGTCCCAGAACTGGTTGCCTCACTGGACCTCTCCATCTCGCTGGTCCAGACAGGAGAGATGCTCAAGCCCTCTTTAAAGGTGTTGATCATGAGGATGCTGCAGCAAACAGGTCTAGTTTTTGCTAATCTAAAGAAATTTAAGCCAGGGGTTAGTTGAAAAACCTGACATAAATGGTCCTCAGCCAAATTCGCAGATATCAGATGACCATAAAGATAGACAAGAAAGTTTTGTAAAATTATTGCACTCCCCCAAAGTGGGATTTTGTCGTTGTGCATATGTAACAGCTGGCATAGCAATGGGCTCTCAGCTGGGGGGAAGGGAGACATCTGCTTGCTGGTGGGAAGAGTAATAGTAATTCTTGCAAAAATCAAAGTGGTGGGGCGGGGAGGAAGAGGGGAGGGAAAAAAACCCTATTTCTAAATTTTTATGGTAAAAGGGGGATTTGTGGTTCTAATTTTTTTGTTGTTGTTGTTGCCAACAATTGTTACATGGTTGTTAAATTTTTTTTTTAAGTCATTTTAGTTTTTCCAAAAGTGACCATGATTTGTTACTTATACTGTAGCTTACAGAAGTGACACACTTAATATCGGGGGGTCCAAACCTGGATATCTACCAATGGAGATGGAGATCAGGTAAATGCACACCTGCTCTTCCAAAGAGAAAAAGCTGCCATTTGGCAAGTGGTTTGAGAGGGAGCTGCAGGCTGTAACATGAGCATTTTGGAAGAGACTAGATTGAGCGCTGCCATTAATCACCAAGTTCCGCGTAGGCCCAGCATGGTTTTGTGTGACAATGATGTTCAGACAACACGCCAGCTACCAGGAGACGCCTGGAGAAGGCTCTGGGTTGTGGCCCTGGCAGTGGCTGAGCACAGGTCCACCACAGGAGACCTGGCAGGAGCTGAGGTCCTCCACAGACTAGCCCCATAGTATGATGTACCGTCTTACTCTCCCAGCCGGAGGGAAGGCGGTGGTGGCTGCAACATAGACCATGATGGAGAAGGCAGGTGAGAGGGAGGTGTCTGCAGGTAGATAAGAGTAATCATGTGGCACCAGTGCCATGCCTGTCATTTCCTCTTCTCTTTTACAGACACTTAACAAGAACAATTTGATACCAGATGACAGGACCAACTTCTACCCGTTGCAGCAAACCAACGTGTACACGACAACCTATTATCCCAGTACACTGAATAAATATGACTACAGGCCCGAGGCCTCCCCTGGAAGGACCTTTACCAACAGCTGATGATGGACAGTACCTACAGGACTGGATCACTTCCTATATGAATTTTTTTTTAATTGATTTTATGGACCAAATACTGGCCCAGCCTTTAGATGTAAATATTGTACAGTAGGGTCTTTTTTTTTTTCCTTTGGTTAATTGTATTTCTTGTAAACAGCACATCTCCTTACAAGGACAAAAATGCATATGGACCATTCTGCAGAGCTTTTGTGGACATTTGGCTGGAGATGGCTCTTACTACTGCAACTGTTTATGGCTGGAAGATCAGCGTTGCTGTCCAAGGCCAACGTTGTCAAGGAGGTGGCTGTGTGTTGGGCTCAGTGGCCTCCACGCTGCAGCACGTGGCACACGGGTGCACTCTGAACAAGGTAAGAGGTGGCCTCCTGGGGCAAGGATGTCTGTCTGGTGAGGAGCATCCTTCCTGAGACAGGGTAGCAATGGTGCACTGGATGACACGCAGCTCATGAGACAGGCCAAGCGGGACTCCATCGTGCCAACAACTTGAAGAACGTTTTCTTTTTCTTTTCCTTTTTTTTATTTTTTAATTTTTTTTTTATGTTTCTGCAAAAGAAAAAAAAATTGACTTTCTAGGGCTGTGTTCCCTATATCTTCTACAGAATCTTTTCTTATTACAGGAAATACTCTCTGCAGCCTTCTTTGGTAATATGCAGTTCAGCTGATGAGAATCAACACACAAACAAAGTGCATTACCCAAAGAAGCTTTCTAGAATGTTTCCAGTCTTAATTAAAAGAAAATTATACGGGCAGTGAGATACTGAGAAAAGTAAATGTTGGAATAACATCGGAGACATGAACTTGGAGTGCCTAACAAACAAAGAGTGTTTATATCACTGGAAAAAAAAAAAAAAGATGTGATGATTGCCGCACAAGAGCCATGGGCTTTTTTGCTTTCTTTCTTGTTCTTATTTTTTCTGAGACAGTGTTAACTCTTTTTGTTCCAGCTTTGATCCTGATTGCGTCTGCCAGGAAAGGCAACTTTAGAGGCCATGCTCTTCTTGTGGGAAATCACCATGCTTTGGGCTGATTTTTCCTCTTGTTTTCTTGTTGGTTTTTAGTTCGTTTACTTTCCAAGAGTGAATAATTCTGACTTTGCAGGGGGAGGGTATTTTTGTAAGGAATGTTTCCATGGTCTGACATGACCCAGAAAGTCTACTGCACATTCCTATAGCGTCTTCCAGTCAGTACTCTATGAAATTGTAACACAGCTGAGTAATGTGCATTGTTTGCCAATATTTCTTTAATTTTTCTGAACAAAAGCAACCCAACAAACAAATGCTGCTGCAGCTATTGAAGTAAATTGGGGCGGTAGCATTATTAAATAGTATATCCAGCCTTGAAATGTAATTCTGTGTATGTGTGTGACTGTGTCTATAAGAACTGTATTAGTTTGATGCAGAAGCCATGTTGTCTACAGCCAGATGTTTGTCTGACATAATTGTTTGGCAAAAAAAGGAAACTTATTGCTGGTGCTTAATGTACAATTACATCCAATGTGTTAGCCACGTGAACAAGTTCACCGCTGTTATCATTCAGTGTTTCTAAATATTTATAATGAACTCCTGATGCTAAGAATTTTAGAATGTCGCAATACTGAGCATGAGATAAAAGTGCACCCCGAAACGCGCATGAGCTCCACGTCGTCCCGAGCTTGGCTTTGTTGTCTGCATCTTACTCGAGCAATTGCCCTGCCCGTGCTTGGCCACCGGCTCGGCCGTGTTCCCAGCAGCCCCCTTTGTCTTCGCTTTATTTGGGATTTCGCTGTTAAGCCGACACTGGGCATTTCTCAGTGCTGTTCCTTTGCTTGTTCGGAAGCCCGGCTTGGGCTGTGTGCTCAGCTCTTTCATGTAGGCAGCTGGTAGGAGATGAAGAAAGACTTGTGTTGCTCGTGATAACTATATTACTTTTCCTGCGAGGAAAAGCCAACATGGCTCTGTAAGCCTGTGTTATGGTGGTTTGACCAGAAGGCAAGAATAAAGTAGCCTCCCATTTTTAAATTACTTTGGTCCACTTCAGTTTGCAGTGATTGAAGGCTGTAGGGATATTTGTAATAAAGTGGGGTCATTAGCACTGCCATGAGGATGCCTTAGGCTCAGTGGTGCCCATAATTTCCAGCAGCTGTTTTTTCTCATTTAGCAGCTCATCCCACCTCTGCTCTGGTCTCACCGGATGAAATACAGGGAACAGAGGAGGAGAGAGAGTGGTGCCCTTAAACAGATACACTGACATTTGAAGCAGTGGGGTCAGGAGCTGATGCAGACCTCGAAGCTCTGTCTGAAGCAACCTGCTGTAACCCTCCAAGTAGGCACAGCCACTCCATGGCCCCGACGCCCCTGGCAGCGAGAGCTGCAGGAGGACAGCACTGACAGCGGGTACCAGAGCCTGCAGGGGGGCTCTTCCCAGGCCCCTAAACCCTGTTTGAGGAGTGATGCCTTCGTGCTGTAACGAGTTCACCCCTGTCTCACTGAATTTCTGCGTCCCCTTCAGCAAAATTGAAAATCCTGACTTAAAGTAGTTCTAACAAGTATGTAGCCCGGGGTTTGAAAATTATTACATTAGACTATCGGGATGGGATTTCCCAGCTTTAATTTATGTGAGGCAGAAGAAAACATTAGCTCCCAAGATCACTCTAGCCATTAAAACCATCTCTGAGCTTCCCTTTCAGAAGATTCCCTGTATTGACACATTCTGCAATTAACCGTGCACGTGGCAGGATTGCACCTGGAATGGAGGGGGGAATGCAAGTGAGTCAAACCTTGCAATTATTTTAATTTTCAATCTTTCCTTTTTTTTTTTTCCTCCTTTAACATTTTTCCATTTTCAGCTTCACAGAATAGCACGATGTAAATTGATTATTTTTTTTTTCCCCAAAGTGCTACATAGCAGCTGAAATTATTTAAATGTTCAGCTCACCAAGATAGGTCATTACTGCCATTGCACTCAGGAGGTGGATATTTTGTAGGCTATTGGAGGGCAGATGCTTCGAGGGTGGTGCATGTGGTTATAGTTTCATCAAGACATTCCTTCTTACCAGTCATCCAAATGGATTCAGCCCTTTTTCATATAATTGGCAATCACAGCAAGGGTCTGTAGACTCCATTCGAGCAGAAAGTAGAATCCAGGAGAGAGCAAGACAGCGCAAAAGAAAGAAATCAGAATGCTTATTACTCAATTAATGTTTGCATGAGAGTGCAGTTCTTTAAGGACAATGTTAATGCGGGGTGAGGGTTGCATTTTTTATGAGCTCTCTAAAGCATGGCAGGCTAATGACACCATGTACACTGATATTCTTGTGATCCAGGTAATTTGGCAGCTTCATCATCAGGCCTGTGCTATCTGTAGCAGCTTGAATTGCTCCTGCAGCTGGATGTTAAACTTGCTAAAATTTCCTATTCCTAAGGCCATCTTACAGTACACTGGAAATGCATTTAGTTGGGGAGCGTTACTTTTTAAAAGATTCCTGTTGCTATATATACATATATATAGTTTTCTTCTTTCACATCTAAGGCAGGAAAGGGGGACCCTGCACAGCTCCTGCATTGGTCTAGAGGCACTGGTTCTCTGCAGCCCCTTTGGATAGGATTCAGGGTATACCCTATATGAAATATGATGGAAAACTTACAGCCAAGTACGTAGCGGAAGCATCTTTCCTTAAGCCGTTCTTCTTTCTTTTTCCATGGAAGAGGCTGCCTTTCTCCCTGCAGAAGGGGTGCAGAAGGGGTGTGCGTTACAGTGTTGTCCAGGCTGTGTTGTGCTGTTGCTGTCAGGCTTTGCTTGATCAGCTGTCACCCCCCAGAAATGACTCGTGCAGCTCACTGACAGAGAAACCACAGTGAAAAAGGTGCTGTTGCTCTAAAGGTGCACTTGAGTGTTCAAGCATACGAGCCAGGGCTGCTCTTAAATATGTGAACTGTACAGATACTATAGGAGAAGAATGTGTATTGTCTTACCACCACTGTTCCCGATGCCTTACGTTCAGAAAATGAGATGGTTGGTTTGAAATCAATAGCGAGTCGGAGCGGAGTCCACGTCTGATGCAGACAATTTGACGCCTCCAGTGTTAATCTGATGTCAAGCCCACCTGGAGAGGAAATTGCTGTCCACTGAGATGATTGATTTATTCTTTGTACCAAATGTAGTGGGGGGAGAGTTATATATATATAAATATATATATATAAAAAAAAAATGTAAATGTAAAGTTTGTGTAACAACTTACTCTTTTTTTTTGTAATAGTGTATACATCTATCAGTGGATAGATACAGTATATATTTATAATATATACACACACAATATATATATTTAGCAAAATGCCTGCAGAGGAAACTTAGAATAAAAAAGGCAGTGCTGGTATTCAAATTCCACAGGGACAAAGTGAAGAAAAAAAGCTGTAGAAATCTAGTAACCTTTTCATTAGGTTTTAAAAAAAAAAAAAACAACACTGTTGAGGTGAATGAAATATAATTTTTTAATTGAAAAGAAAATTGATTTTTCTAGTTAGAAATGCTGATTCTCCCCTAAATCATTCTGGTTAAGAATGATTAAGAAAAAGATTCCTGTTACTGCTTATATTTTCTGAATAAGCCTCCCAAGTCTCTGATGTGTATCACTTTATTGTTTTTGTAATTATAAGTAGGGAGTAATTGTGCAAAGAAAATTAAAATAGCAAGTAGGAGTAACAAATATTGTACCATTAGAGGAAAAGACATCATCTATTAGAACGTGAAAAATGTCATCTTCCATGTTAAAGAAGTTAGCAACTGCTTTCGGAGTTACTGATTGCCATCATGAGCCTTGTCTTAGAGTCACACTAGGAGGTTTTAGTACTAAATTTAAATTTGGGGAAGAGAAACCCCCAGAAACTCATGGCTTTTGATTTTCAGAGGGGTCAAAAAAAGTCACCAGGCCATGGGAGTCAGGCACCCAGTGTCTGTTTGTGGCCAAGGCTCTGCACCTACTCCTCGCCCTGTCGCTCCCTCCAGCCAAGCCCGCATGGACAGGGGGGCTCAGCCCCCTCAGAGCTGTTGGGTGTAACAGAGAAATACCCAGTACATGGGGTTGGAAGGAGTTATTTTTTTTCCCAACAGCTCACTTTAAAGCCCTGGAGAGCAAAGCCCAGCCTCGTACAGGCAATCTTCCCCTTAAGTGTCTCTAGGAAAAAAAACTTCAGGCAGCTTCAAGAAGAGATTTGGGGTAGGTGAGCAAATCCACAAATTTTGACACTGCCTGATTGCCAGAGCCTTCAAAACTGGACAGAAACCTCTCTGGAGTTGGGTCCTTGGTGGAGCTTACCCAGTCTCAGCCGTTCTGCCAGGAATTTCCTCCTTTGGGCCCTTTGGGAAGTTTCAGTGTCTGCATTAGTCCTGGCTGGAGGAGCAAACCCACCAATCTACTATTTAGACAGCCACAAATGTACGTGCTCTACAGCACTTACAGAATGATATGGGGTTGGAAGGGACCTCTGTAGATTATCTAGTCCAAACCCCCTGCCAAAGCAGGTCCACCTCCATTTAACAAAAGTTTGGGTCTTGAACTTGATTATTTTTTTTTTTTTCCTGTTCTGCCTCCAACCTCAGCTGCAGATTCGCCCCTGCTCACCGAGAGGGCTCGGGGCTGTAAGAGCAGCTCAGATTGGCTGCAAGTCCCAGCTGCCATTTGGGTTTAAACAAATCTGGTCCTGAAAAGCATTAACGCTGCACTCTAATAACTCTGCAACCTCCGTGAGCCGGGTGCTGTTAATTCGGGTGCCACGGAGCCAAGCAGAGGTTGGCGTGGATGGGCCAGTAATAACTGAAGGAAAAATGGCTTCAGTACCAAAATGTCAAACAACAGGAAAGCCAGCCAGCTGCACGACAGCGTGGTGCCCATCCACACATCCCTCCTTAGATAACACCCAAACCCGCGCACACTTAAAAGCAGTGCAGTTAATTAGGAGCATTCCCACAGAGGAAGGTTTAGGGCTGTCTGTGAGATGGAAATGATAGGATTTAGCTTGTAACTGAGGTGGGAGAGTGAGAGAAGCAATCCTGCATCTCGGATATGTGGGGAGTTATTACGTGACCACGGAATGCTTGCCCCAAAACAGCAAAACCTGGAGAGTATTATTGGACTCTGTTGTGAAGGCACATCACCCTTCCTATGCAATTGAACTTGATGGTACTTTAGTATAAAAAGGTGACCTAGACTGTAATCACTGCCTTTAGACACTGTGAATTTTTTTTGGGTACTCTGTATTTTTATATATTGTACAATGTAAAGAATAATTCAGAAATAAAACAGACCAACCTGGCAAGCCTGGGCGTTGTTTTCCCTCCGTGGCTGAGGGGCGGTGGGGCCGGGGCTGTGGCGCAGCGCTGGCAGGAGGGGTCAGAGGGGACACGGAGGAGATTCCTCTTGATGGTGGGGTCCGAGGGCGTTGCAAAATGGACTCAGATGCTTCTGTGGGGATGGAGAACTGCAGCATACATATGTCTGCATCCCGAGGCTCCAGCTGGGATTGTATTTGTCAGGAGCTGTGGAGTACAGAGTTACAAAATTGTGTTACTGAACGCAACGCCAAAGTCTGTCGCTGCAACTCAGCTCCCCTCCCACACACGCCTGAGCGTGGGAGTGCGGCTCCACACCTCGCTTGGGCTGCAGGGGAAAAATGGGATTTCTGAGTCAGGTGCCCAGTGAGGTAGGATCAAATCTGTCTGAAATTCGGGATGCCAAACCCACGCCCAGTTCTGCACTTCGCGTCTCCCCTCTGCTCCCCAGCGCAGGACCCCGAGTCTTGGGTGTCCCCACCAAGGACATCTCTGCTCCCCCTGCCAAGGAGACCAGCTGGACGCAGCGAGCAGAGGTGCCCTCCTCTTCTGCAGAGCCTTCCAGGTGTACGTGCCCAATTGCAGTGGAATCCTATGGCTGCTCCTTCTCAAGCCCTGCATATTGCTGTGAAAAGTTATAAAAAGCTGAGGGACACGTTTTGATTGAAGGATGATGGTAGCCTCGTATTGAAGAACGTTATAGCTCCTGTTGCATTTATTAATCAAAGTAAAGACCATGAAAAGTGACAGAGTCAGGAACATTTTAGTTTATGTTCCGATGCAGCTCAAGACTTATATTGAAGTTTCATACAGAAAATTACACCATAATGTCATAAAAAATAGATTGGATTACTAATAACCTGAAACGTGCTACACCTGCATACATAATACTTTAATCCTACTAAATCATAAGCTATCATTTGGGTGTTTTCATATTCTCAAGTGTGCATACAGGAATTTCTTTTCAATGCAGACCATTAAAAAGTAATTGAGAGGCACAGATCAGTAAAAACAAACTTGCTGTGAATAAGATGGATTTTTTTTTCCCAGTTAGTTTGCACGATAACACAGGGAGGCCATTTCTGAACGGTTTTGTTTTGCATCAAGACACCTCTGCACACAATTAGAGCAAAGTATCACGTTGGAACCTATTTCCAATTTCCTTAAAACCTGTCTACCACAACATATTTTTTTTTTTCTAGTTGCTAATTTGATTCATTAACATAACAGTTTCACTCGTAGCCCCAGTGCGTTTTGTTCTCTCACCTTCACTACACATCCCAACTGTTACTCTTTTTCCTCTTTAATTCTTAACTCCTTGGAGTAAACAGCAAAAAAATTTGTTACCTTGCAAGTTCCCCACCAGCTTTATATTAAGTCAAAGCCTCAGGGCTGCTCTGCGGGCGATGGGCTCCCAAGCAGCACCCATTGCCCACACGGTTTGCTGGGGAGGCAAAAAAACAGGTGAATGTGGGACCCCAGGCCAGGGTGAGGACCCCTCTGAGGGGACCACAGACCCTCCCCCTCCCACCTGCCTTCGGCATCGCTCAGGGGCAAGTATGAGAAACAGAGGAAAAGAAAAAAGCAGAAGGTTCCTTGTGATTCCTGTCTATGTGGTTCCTCCCAGCCCCCTGCAATAAATGCTTTAGTGATGCCCTGAGCCAGATGTTGCAGTGACAAACCTGCCTTAGCCCTGTCGAGCCATATGAACCCTTTCTGGCGGGATGTTCTTTTCCATCAACAGCTGGAAACATCTGTGGCCAGTGGGGCACTTCTCTGGGCAAGGGAACAGCCAACACTGGGTGTTCTGGGGGAGAGAAGGGGCAGGGAATTGCAGCCCGGCCTGGTTACTGCCAGTGCTCAGGAAAACGCTGGAGTGAGGACTTGGAGGAAGAAGGTGTACTCACCACAGAGCGGCTGAGCAGCTGCATGTTGGCACCAGGGCATTACCAAGAGCAAGTCGTGGCAAACCAAGTTAATTTCCTCCTCTGGATGGGCATCAAGCGCTGCAGGTAGCGCAGGAGTGAGAAATATCCTGCAGTCTGGTTTTTAGGAAGGCTTTCGACTCTCTCATGCGTGATCCTCGCACGCTGCCGGGAGCTGTGGCTGGGCAGAGCATCGTGCAGACACCCTCCTCGGAAAGCAGTCAAGCTGCAGCAATGAAAAAAAAGTGCCAAGTGAGTGTCCTACTGCTATTCCCAGTGCCCCCAGCCCCACCAGTGCCCCCAGTCCCCCCATCATGAAGTGATGACAAGCCCTGGCTTAGTGCAGCCACCACGGTGCAGAGCTCAGCACGGAGCAAGGACCTCCTCAATGCGCACGAGAGTCAACCCTCTCCAGCAAAACCATCTCTTCCCATGAGGTCTTGTGTGCTTTTCCCCCTTGAGCCGAGAGACCGCACGCTCTCCAACACACAGCTCCATTACCCAAAGCTTTGGAGATTCATTAAAAATGCTGTTTTGCTAACAGCTGAAATGCATTTTGACATGGTTAATTTGGAAGTCAGCTTTTTAAGCAGAAAAGTGCAATGACAACTCCACGAGTGGCTTTTTATGAATGAGCAAAACAAACCAAGAGGAAGGCAGAGCTCAGCGCTGCCCAAGCCTGTTTCCAAAAGAAAAATAACCCAACACAACTCCAACACGTGCCCCCACGCTCTGTCCTTCCAGCACGTGAGGCATGGACAGACAATAAATTCCTTACATTGTCAGGAATGGCAAGAATCAGGCTATATGGGTAAGACATCAGCCCATTTCCCAGGACACCCCACACACAGACCCCCATCTTCGGTCAGATTTCAGCCCTTCAAACCGCTTACAATTTCCCCAAACTCAACCATTTTCCTTGGGAAAATGAATTAGGCTACAGTGATTTTTTTTTGCTGAGATAAAGATGTGACGCTGGTTCCTGGTGGCTGATGGGGCTGAGGAGACTCTCACCTTTTACTGCTTTGCTGTGGGGTCCTAGTAAGGCAGGTTTTTGTTGTGACCCAGAGTTTTATCACCCTCTTTTTTTGTTGTGACTGACCCTACCTTGACCACCTCATCACATCAGCCCAAATGCATGTAAGATTAGTTTGCTCTTTACAATTTTAAAACCATAAAGATGACAAGGACGCGCTCACGTGCTGTACTCAGACACCGGCCACCTCCACCCCTCTCCTCCATGGTGTTTACCTCTAGTGAACACAGAATATTCCATTCCTCAGCTCCTTGCACCAGCTACAGCAGGTCTGGTATACAGAAAATGCTTAAAGCCCCTTCTGGCTGTGGGGCAGAGGCATCTCCTGGCTGAGGAGTTCTGCCATGTTCTACCACTGTCACGCTTCAACATTTTTTGAGTTTCTTTTGGAGGTTTCCAAAAGTTTTTTTTAAGATTTTCAAGGTCAAACTTTGCAGTTGTTTATGAACTGGCAATTAGCTGGAAGCAAAAAAATAGTCCTAGTTTTCCATCAGTCTGGAGACAGCGTGGTGTCTCCTAGACCTGGGGTTAGCATTGACCACAGCAAACGGCAACAGGCTGTTGGGGTTCGATCCATCTAACCTTGCTATATTTTTTCATTTTTAAACCTCCCATAGTCATTTCCTTGCTGTCGTGGAAATAATGGAGCCAGCAATGGATTGCTCCCCTCTCAAGCGCAGGGTAATGAACAGCCATCAAAAACATTTGATATTTCCATGATGTGAAGCATCAATGGCCACAGAGAAAACTGTACCCATTTTTGCAGTACTTAATTTACTGTCATGAGCAAGCGATCTGGGCGCGAGAGCAGGCAGAACGCTGATACACTTTTATTACCCTGGCAGGAGCCACATTATTGTTTTCTGTTTTCACATTTCTTAGCAACAACACTTTTTTTGTTCATAGGTTTCTTCATAGGAGCTGGGCTGAAATTATTTTTGTGTTGTACCCAATTTACATGCTGACTTACATCAGCCTGTCCACGAGCGAGAGCCTTGCTTTTCTGCCTGAAAGCCTCCTGGCAATTACTGCTGTCTTCTGCTGATCCATCGCTCCTCTGGCACCAGAAGAGACAAACCTCACTGTCTGGAGGAGGTCACCCATCCCAGGGAGCAGCTCAGTCCCTGGCAGTCCCCACAACTCCAGGCACAGCCAAAGAGGGGCTGGAGCTAATAGGGAGGGACTCAGTCCCTGAGCATCACTTCTACACGCCAGCCCAGAGACCCACAGTCCCACCCCAGCCAAGATAAAATCATCTCTAGATGCCACCTGAGCATACAGGATAGGATGAGCTGTGATGCCATAGCATAGACAAGACCTATTCCAAACATTTCTCTCACAGAAAGGTCTTTTTTGCACTTAAGTGGCCTTTGAAGTCATTTCTGTATGAACTTGTGCTGGTTTAGTATGCACTTTTGCTGCTCATCCACTCACCACAAATCCTTCAGAGCTGCCCTTTCCTTTGCCCACCAGAGGTGCTCATTCACAGAATCACAGAATCTTCTAGGTTGGAAGGGACCTCAAAGATCATCTTGTCCAACCGTCAACCTAACTGACAAAAATAGACACCCACACAACAAACAAGGAGCATCACCATCACTAAACCATACCTCCCAGCACTACATCAACCCGTCTTTTGAACACCTCCAGGGATGGTGCCTCAACCACCTCCCTGGGCAGCCCATTCCAATGGCTGATAACCCTTTCAGTGAAAAAATTTTTCCTAATATCCAGCCTGAACCTCCCCTGGCGTAACTTGAGGCCATTTCCTCTCGTCCTGTCGCCTGTGACTTGGGAGAAGAGACCGACCCCCACCTCTCTACACCCTCCTTTCAGGTGGTTGTAGAGAGCAATAAGGTCTCTCCTCAGCCTCCTCTTCTCCAGGCTGAATAACCCCAGCTCCCTCAGCCTCTCCTCATAAGACTTGTGCTCCAGACCCCTCACCATCTTTGTTGCCCTTCTCTGGACCCGTTCCAGCACCTCGATGTCTTTTTTGTGGTAGGGGGCCCAAAACTGGACACAGTAC